AAGGCCCATTTAACTCGTAGAGCTCAGCAAATTTGTTTACCGAGAGAAATTCGTAGTACTATTTTTAAAGTTTCCGGACTTCAGGAACCAATGCCTGCCGCAAATCCAGAGCCACAACGAGGAAAAAAGAGGGGAAGGTGTAAAATATGTCCATATTCTAAAGACCAGAAGAAAGAAAGCTCATCGTGCAATAAATGTCGAGATTTTATTTGTAAAAATCATTCCCGCATACAGACGTTATGCATAAGCTGTGTTGAAAATTAAGGTAAAATCATGCTCGTCATTTTTGAGATACGAAATCTAAATCGATTTTTTTTATTTTAGGTAGGAGCTATGATACCTAGATATTACCATTGGATATATAAAAAACTGCACGTTGTTATTATTTTTCTTATAATTCGAGAAAGTGCATAGCTATGTTAATTTGACTGAATACAAAAGTTTTTTTTTTAAATAAAGTTATATCTAATTAACCAAATTCGTTTATTTTTATATAAATGTAAAAGTAGCTGTAAACAAAATAATTTAAAATAAAACAAGTTAAAAAAGAATATTAATTGATACCAAAAACAATGGGGGGTCAAATTTGACCCTGCCATGGTACAAATGTTACTATTTTTGGCCATGGTAGTTAAGGGTTTAATTCAATTTTTAACACACTTCTTGTTTTAAAATAAATTCATATAAATACAATTATTATTTTAAACATATTCTTAGCTCACATATTAAGTAAATTTACTGTCAAATGATATTTATTTAAATTTTATTATAATTTAATATTTCGTTTGAGTTTGACAGGTCAGAAATAAACAATAGTTGGTCCATTTGGAATAGAAAACCGGAACGATCGGAGAGATACATTGGAGATTTTTGCTGAAGCAAATCAATTAGTAATAATGAACACCTGGTTTAAGCTACAGCTAAGGAAATTGTACACCTGGAAATTTCCACACGATTCTGTGGGAAGGATTCTAAGAAATCAGATTGACTACATGCTAGTAATTAAGAGGGATAGGAATAGCTGTATACGCATGTTTTATTGACTATCGAAAAGCATTTGACTGTGTTAACCATCAAAAGATGATCGAAATTCTAAGAAAAACTGGAGTTGACGAACAAAACTTGCGAATTACCTCAGAACTATACTAGCACCAAACGGCATCAATTGAAATAGAGCACATAACATCCGAAGATATACAAATTCGACGAGGAGTGAGACAGGGTTGCGTCTTATCACCACTACTGTTTAATTTGTATTCGGAGTCTATATTCAGAGAAGCATTAGACCAGGTCCAAGGCGGAATTAAGATTAACGGAATCAGCATAAACAACATCAGATATGCTGATGATACTCTCTTAATAGCAAGCAACGCACAAGAACTACAAAATGTAATAAATGCGGTAGTTCACCATAGCGAAATGTTTGGTTTACATCTAAACGTTTCCAAAACTATAACTTTAGTATTTTCAAAGACACCAATAACCGTATTTTTAGAAATGACACATATACAAAAAAAAAATAAAAAATGTGTAAATAGAAGATCAGATATTGACAAATTAAGTAACATTTATTGTTACATATTAACATATCAATAAATACCGTCAAAATCTTATTTTCTATTGACATCCTAACATTAAAAATTCATATGTGCTTAAGCGAAACTGCTGACTGGATTAATTTATATTTTTTATAGACAATTAAATAAATTATAATAAAAACTATTGTTACTGGTTTTGCTTTCCACATAAAATAACTGTATTTTCATTCATATATGTCCATTAATCAAACCATGACAATGACATATATAGTGACAATATAGTTATTTTTAATAAAAAATTTTTAATATATTTATAATGGTTTGTTTTGTAGAGTACAATATTAACAACTGTAATCTCACGACTAGTAAGTAAGACAATTAACAATTTTAACTAGTTAATTTATATTTCTTTTTATAGATGTCTTGAAAAAGAATTAAATAAAATTCGAAAGCTTGACAGTAAGTCAAAGAGTTTTCTTTGTCTTTTGGGCCAAATAAACTGACTGCATCCTCAAAAATCATAACTTATATATATATATATATATATATATATATATATATATATATATATAATAATAATAATGTAATATTTAAAGTCTGAGGTGCGCCAAGCAATTAATTAGCTAATTAATCACTTAATTAAATTTATTTAAATGATGCAGTTATGATTCTATCACATTATTTAATTCTCTTATCTCAGGGTTATACTTGTGTTTCAATATCTATGCTTTACATATGATAGGTAAGGTCCAAAGAATACCGGAAGAATAAAAAACATATATGATACAACATTATATATTGAAATAAAATTCACACTAAAATATGTTCAATAAAAAATTATCTCATATAATGATTATCAAAATTTTGTTCTACGTACGTGAACCTTCAAAAATTAATGGTATATATAATATAAATTAAAATTTCAAATCAAAATTGTTGTTCTAAATCTCCTGATCAAAATATTCTTATCTTTTCTAAAGCAATTGTTTAAAAAAATGTGTTGTTAATAAAGAAAAAACTGACGAATAGTAAAACTATCTCTCTGATGATGAGTTGTCCATATCCTTGTTCCTTGTAGCCTACACTATCTATTCTTAGCAGTCCACTAGGTAATCAGCAATCTTACAACAAATTGTTGCGAGCCTATCGTCTTTAATGATCTTCAAATGCACTTATCGTTCAAATGATGCTAGCCTCTTCTCCTCTCGATAAACTGAATCTCTCGTTCTGGCCTGAACAGTAACTCTGGGAATATAAGTAGAAAAATATAACTTACAATATTTTACTGGATCAGCTTCTGTCAGATACACTTACTCCACGAAAACTATCAGACATTCACTTCTACTGCTTACTACCTCTGGGGAACCACCAGAGAACAACGACTGTTCGCCATGCACCCTTGGAAAACAACTGATTATCTTTTCTCCCTCAAAAATCTAGCTAAACTCTCATTCCTACATACCTCTCCCACTTTTTTTAATCTCCTCCAATCAAAGCTTGTCACACTTATCCCCATCTACCATTTAGATAACAAACAATTTTACCTACAATTATAAATTTCCTAAAAACTATTAACAAGCTAATCGGTTTCTAAAAATTCTTAAGAACTAACGGAGAAATATAATTATCTAAATATTTCTATTCTATTGTCTTATTCACTGTATATCCTGTATATCGACGTACAAGTCTATTTGGAAAACCCGCTGGCATTGTTCATGATTTCACTAAGCTCACTCACGTCACTCGAATATATTTTACAAAGAAAATAATTTATGCATATCTTTAAATTTTGTTTACTACAGGTAATCCAGATGGACTTTCATTTCTTCGAAATATCTTTTATAGTTTACTAGTTGAATTATTTGAATTATTATATTTTGTACTTTGAAATATATTAAGAGCAAACCAATATTATTTTCAATTTTACATATCATAACAATATATACTGTCATGATTCTTCTTTCCCAACCAAAGGAAATTAAATAAAAAGATCCATCGGAATAAAATTTTAAGATATTAGTATAAACAAATTGTATATAGTAATTTAAGATAAGATTTAATGTAGATAAGAATAGAAATTTGTTTGGCAAACCTCCTTTTCCGTGTCCAACAAAAATTATCAAAAAAAACCCGTTTGTTTAGAATTAGAAGACATTTTACCTGTAAGTTAATATTTTCATTGTTTGTATAATTGAGTATTAAATGACCATATTCTAATCTTTTGAAATATGTATAAATTGTGTATTGACAAAACCAATTTTAAAGTAAGCTATATAGTTTTTTCTCTGAAACAGAAATTAGGCTTTTCCAAAAGGGGTAAACACAATTTGAGCTTTGGATTGGACGGTCGTTTTTTGAATGGGAATTTGTGAGCCGATCAGGAGTACCGGAGAAGTCAGTTATAATTTGGTCATCGAAGGAAACAGTTGTTTGTCTCAAGATAGGGTGTGGTTCGTGAGTTGGATACCGGCAGTGTGAAAAGAATTGAATAGTTTTGCAGAAGGAGATAACAAGTAGATTAAAAGAGGTCCTTGTATCTACCGTGGGCAATTTTGTGAATTATATATGAAAGTAGTTTTACGGCATCAAGTTGGCAAAAGGAAGTTCTTGTGTCATAAATAAGTAGCTGAGTTTTTGGAGAAGTGAATCAAGTGTTTTTGGTTAGTGCAGGAGGTTTGCAGAGATGTTGGGAAGGAGCCGAGGTGCCAAAAAGGAGAGATCACACCGTTGAGGATACTGGACTTTTCTGGGTATGTTCCAACATACAATTCAATAAAAAAAAGTGTTTTGTACAATTAAAATTAATATCTGTGAAGGATCTGTGTTGACTCATGGTCATTAGCATTCAAATTTAAGAACTGAATTTTATTAGATAAATTAAAAGTTTAAAGTTTTGGTGTTTCTTGTTTCAAGTAAAGGAAAATTTAAGTAAAATTGGTTTACACTTAATATAAATGTATATAGATTTAAAATCTTATTATTATAAAAATTTCATTTATTTTCTTGTATGTTGATTGATAATATAACGGCAGAATTTGATAATTGTTTTATTCGTTCATATAAAATAAAGAAACGTAATTTTTTTGTAATATAATATTTTCTTTTATTATTATCCTTCTTCTCTATCCCGATAAAGGACAGCTAGAAAATCTTTAAATCCATCGAACACAGGTAATAGACGGAGTTTTATTTTACATATGATAACAAATAAGTTATATTTTTTTTATTGGCTCAATAAACTAAGATCAAAGTAAAAATAAACAATTATAACAATACATATTAATGGTTTTTATTGCGTTGAAACACAAAATGTTATTTTAAATAGTATGTTTAAAATCTACACAACTAAACTAAAAATAAGACATCGATTTGGTTTATTTTATCAGTACTAGTAATTAATTTATTAATATATATATATATATATATATATATATATATATATATATATATATATATATATATATATATATATATATATATATATATATATATATATATTAAATTACAATTCATTTTTAATAATAAATCATTTAAACTATTTGTGCGATCTACGTTCTGGTTTCTTAGTATAAAAAGCGTTAATTTCATCATCTATCTGTTTTATAGTATACTCAATGCCATTCACTCCTTCGTACTGTTTAAGGCATTCTTCTAGCCGTCGCAAATTCTCTTGGAATGTTTCAAATCTCTTGGGTTCCACTTCTGGAGATTCATATTGTTTATAATATTTTTGCTAAAAATCCATAATATCAAATTAGATTTAAAAATTAAAAAAATATAAATAGATATAATTAAGATTAATCTAATTTCATTATTACGCAGATAATTACACTTATACTAGCAGCAAAGAAAGTCGAAATGATTATCACCACTGAACGGCTAAACCGGATTAGCGAAGAATTCGGACGAAAGAGAGATGATAGAAGTATTTAATGCGATAGAAAGAGCGGCACAAAGCAGTGGCCTAAACATTAACGAAATAAAAACCAAATACATGAAGGCCAGTAAATCGACAAGTCAAAGAATTCTACAAAATCTGACAATACGAGACTATAACATCGAAAACGTGAAAAGTTTTACATATCTAGGTTCACTAGTTACCGCAGATAGCAATATCAGTGAAGAAATTAAGAGAATATTACATATCGTTAATAAAACATATTATCGACTAATTAATAATCTAAAGGCCCTGATAAAACCTGTCCTTGTATATGGATCACAGACGTGGACACTGTCGGAAAGCGATGAGAACCTATTAGGTACATTTGAACGAAAAATCCTTAAACACATATATAAGGGGGTAAAGGAAAATGACATATGGCGCAGAAGATATTACTTTGAACTATACACAGCATACAATGAACCGAGATCGTAACATCCATAAAGATCGGACGTCTGCGCTGGATGGGCCATGTCGAACGGATGTTGGAGACTGAAACACCAAAACATATAATGAGGCAAACACCAGTAGGGAGAAGGTCAAAGGGAAGACCCAAACTTAGATACATGAAACACGTGGAACAAGATCTGAAAACACTTACGATTACCAACTGGAAAAACAAAGCAAGGAACAGAACAGAATGGCGGAAAATTCTAGAATAAGCCAGGACCCAGGAAGGGTTGTCGAGCTACTGATAATGATGATGACATAATGAATGAGGTAATTTGTCACAAAAATCCCAATATTGTTTATCAAGAGCAACTTTCAAGCTTTGAAGGTGGTCATATTTTTATTTTTTTTATTATTTTTGGCTGTGAGGTATATAATAGAGGAATAACACTTCTTTTGTTTTTGGAGGTCGATCTTTTTGGAAACGATTCATAATTATCTGTATGGTTAATTTTGTAGAATATTTGGCCAAGTTGTAGGACCAGGTCTTATAGATGAAATGTGAGAAATATTTGATTAAATATTTGATAAAATTAAATTTCTTTAAAGTCTTTAAAGTCAGAAAAGTTCATGTAATAAACATTGTAAGGCTGTGCTCTTTTTGCTTCTTTGCGAACAGCAATGTAATCATAAGGTACATAAATATCACGATTTTTAACACTTAACAACATTATACATTTTGAAGGACAAACAGTAATAATTATTTGGGAAACTATTGATAATTGTCGAAAACGCTAAATTTAGGAAAGTATTCATTATTCCGAAAATCTAATTAAATTTTAGGTCGCCACAAGTCACACTTTTCCTATTTATTTTCGAGCAGTATATTAAAAATTATGTTGAGCAGTGTATCAAAAACTGGAATTTATCTGCGCGTGGGGCTTAAGCGCGTGAAAAAAATGGAACATGAAGAACAAAGGACTGGCGGCAGAGTGAACCTACTGATTCTTTTTAAGCAATATACTGTATCACTGCTAAAAACACCAAATGCAAAAAGCCAAGACCACTCAACAAGTTTAATGTGTCATGCGCTCTTAAATCTCTTTAAAAATTATATATCAGATTCTTCTTCTTGTAGTGCCTATCCGTTTCGGATGTTGGCGACCATCATGGCAATCTGCACTTTGCACACTGCTGCTCTAAAAAGATTTGTGGTTGTTGTGTTGAACCACGTTCGTAGATTTTTCAGCCAGGAAATCCTTCGCCTTCCTGGTCCCCGTTTCCCTTCTACTTTTCCCTGGAAGATTAGTTGCAGCAGTCCATATCTTTTGCTGTTCCTCATGATGTGACCGAGGTATTCGATTTTGGCTGTTTTTATTATGGTTAATAGCTCTTTTTCTTTTTTCATTCTCAACAGAACACAGAACACATATATCAGATAATACACAACAAACAAGATATTAGGGACACACAGTTTGGATTTAGAAATGCAGTGGGAACAAAAGAAGCCCTATTTGCTGTAAATATACTTGGGCAAAGGTGCATCAGCCAGTGTTTTTGGATTACAATGAAACCTTTGATAAGGTCAGACATAATTGCCTTATAAAATTCCTTAAAAAGGAAAATTTAGTCATAGGAGATATCGAGTTTATTAGCGTTCTTTATTAGAATCAGATAGCTGTGATCAAGGAGTTTATTTTTTTAGAATAAATAATAATTGAGAAGTTTAGAGTTGATTTAGAGTGTTGTATCCTTTTTGTGTCTTGTTAATGTATATATAGAGAATGAACCAGTAAGCATTAGAAGAACTAACTATGGGAATAAAAGTAAATGGCCGACCAATCAATAATATAAAATTCACAGATGACACTAACAGTCAAATGTCTTAAGGATTTAGAGGATGGTAGAAGTTAGTAAAGAAAATAGATTGTTTTTAAACACAAACAACACACAATTTATGGTGATGACAAAAGTCCAACAGCGCCAAAAACTCTTTGGATATTAAAAAAAGACGTTTCAGGGAAATCTAAAACCTTCGAATTGTGGACTTACAGAAGAATATTACAAATAAGTTGGATGGTTAGGCTCACGAATGTCGAGTTTTGAGAAGAATGAAAAAAGAGAAAGTAAATCGAGAAGTAGAAAAAAAAAGATCATATAATAAATGTGTATTTTTCCATCGCTTGGCTATGCTACAAATTATCATTACCGAAAACTGTACAGACATAATCTGTCTACCAGAGACCAATTTAAAACCCCAAGAGAAATACAATCCTAAACAATACATATTCTTCCGTAAAGACAGGATGCTTGTTAACCATGCTAGTGGTGGTGTTATGACATTAGTAAAAAAATCTCTCAATGCAAATTTATTTCCCGTAGTAAGCAATTTAGAAGCCATAGTCATCAAAATTGATTCCTTAATGTCATTTTATCTATGTAATATGTACATTCCTCCCAACTCACAGGTAAATTATACAGATATACTGCACGTCTTACACAAAATTCCAACACCACGTATAGTCGTCGGTGACTTTAGTGGACACAATATAATATGGGGATCTTCTAACACAAATACGATGGGAAGAATAATAGAAAACCTAATACATAATGTCAATTTAAATTTTCTTAATGATGGAACCCCCACGAGGTTCAACTCAGCATCAGCACAATCCTCGGCATCACCAATTTTAATGAGTTGATACTTAAAAGTGCAGAACACTACATTCAAAAAACCAAAAAAAATTCACAATCATCACCCAGTACCATGGTGGAATAAGGATTGCGAAGAAGCAATACGGCAAAGTAAAAAAGCTCTAAGTAAGTTTAAACGGCACAAAACTCAAGAAAGTAAAACAGAATTCAAACGGTTAAAAGCTAGAACCCAATTAATCATAAAAAATTCAAAAAAAGCGTCATGGTCAAAATACGTCTCAGAAATAAACAGTTCTACTCCAATGAACGAAGTTTGGAAAAGGGTAAAGAAAATGTCCGGTTTAAAGTATTCTTCATCAATTAGCACTCTTAAAATAAACAATACCACAGTCTCTTCTTCACAAGATATTGCTGAAACTCTTGCTTCCATCTTTGAACAACATTCCTCTAGCGAAAACTACGACAATAATTATAGGGAGTACAAGCTAAAGAAAGAACGCACCATCTTGTCTCTAGAATAATCTCACGAAAACCCCCTATCTCAACCTCTTACTATTACAGAACTAAATAACTCCTTACAAGATATGAAAAACTCAAGTCCAGGACCCGACAATATTCCCGTTGTATTCCTAAAGCATTTATCAATCTTAGCAAAACAACATCTTTTGCAAATTTTCAATCAAATTTGGCAGCAACGACAATATCCATCTGTATGGGCAAAAGCCACAATTTTGCCATTTTTAGCCACACTGGCTAAATTAATGGAGAAAATAGTCAATGCCCGGCTTATGTGGACACTGGAAAAATCTCATTTCTTCTTATCAAAGCAAAACGGCTTCAGACGTAACCGGCCAGCAATTGACAACATCGTAGACTTACAAAGTGATATCCAAGAAGCGTTAGCAATGAATCAAATGTGCATAGCTATTTTCTTCGATCTAAAGAAAGCCTTTAATACATGTTGGAGATTCAACATCATTAAAATTGCACTCATCCAATATTAGAGGACACTGCTTAGCCTATATCGAAAATTTTTTAAAAGACTTTTTTTTTCCAAGTAAGAGTTAACAACGTTTATTCTGATTTTTATACTGCAGAAAACGGTACCCCACAAGGCTCAGTACTTAGTCCTACCCTATTCTTAGTTGCCATAAACAACATATTAAACAAATTACATAGACCTCTCAAAGCTCGCCTCTATGCCGACGATTTAGTGGTGTATATTAAAGGAGCACAAAAGGAATCTATGTGCAGAATCATGGACGTATAAACATAGATGGACACAGCAATAAGATACCTTTAACACACAATGTTTTGAAGCTTCGATAGAATGTGATGCTTCCGCAATGAGTATAAGCGTGCTTGAATTTTTACTCGCGGGTAATTATTCAGATTTTAAAAATTGTAAGTAGTAATAATGTATAAAAACACGTTCAAAGAATTAAAAAAAAAAACGAGAATTTAACTATTAACAAATCACGGCTTTATAGAAATATTAAAATACAATTTTATTATATCTTATTGAATACATTAATGAACATGAATAAACCCCATGGTACGCCTATTAAAATGTAAACAAACACCCTTTTTCATTTCCTCATCTTAAATAATGTAAATTGTATGTACTTACAAATGAAATGAGAGACCGGGATGTAAATATTTCGTTTATTTTATTTCACTTTTCACAAATATCACTCAAAATACAGCCAAAATATCTAAAAACAATTTTTCCTTATTCCCTCAATCGTTGTAAACAAACATGGAATAGCATTTGAAGTTTGACGTAGAAACCGTAAAAACAGAGAAATGTAAACAACCGTTACCATTTATAAATAGTTTTCAGTGCTTCTAAATATAAAATAATTGATTGATATCTATTATACGCTATTATTAAATGATAATGCACACTATGTGCACACTTGATATTTTGATTACAATTAGATATTTTAATATAACCAATAAATTATTATTTTGGTTTGATAGCACCTGTAGAGTATAAAATACGGAGTAATATTTTCAGCGACTCGCGAATAAGAAATTTTAAGAAAAAAACGTGACAACAGTTGGAGGTGCTGAGAATGTGACATATTCAAATAATTTTGACTTCACAATTTTATATAAATAACTGAGTCCATCTGTGTTTATACGTCCATGTGCAGAATAGTACAGACATTTCTAACCAAACTAGATAAATGGACGGCTAGTACGGGCTTCAAATTCTCCGTTATAAAGACAACTGGTATGATGTTTACGAAAAAATCATCCATTACACCAGTCCTTTATCTTCACAACAGCATCATTCCATTCCAAAACTCCGTTAAATTCCTTGGTATGTGGCTGGATCAAAAACTTTCCTGGAAAAAGCACTTACTACACTTGGCGCTAACATGCAACAAAAGACTCAATTTGCTTAAAACCGTATCAAATCGTTTCTGGGGTTCTGACTTCTCCACACTACTCCTTCTGTATAAAACACTAATTAGATCCAAACTCGATTACGGTTTAATTGTTTATGCCTCTGCAACCAAGAGTACCCTAAAACCGTTAGATACAATCCACAATGCCACACTTCGGATCGTTCTCGGAGCTTTTCACACTTCACCCATAGAAAGCTTATATTCTGAAACTGGAGAACCATCATTGCAGTATAGGCGGACACTTTTAACACTTTCACACGCTTCTTTTGTAGCTGCTAATAAGGATCATGCACTTTTCGAAAATACTTTTTCTAAAAATAATCTTGACTTTCTCTTTAATAAACCTCGTACTGGAAAACCTTATTACACACGAGTAAGATCAACTCTGAATAATTTTGATACAATAATCCCAAACGTATTTCAGTGTAACATCCAACATCCAGCTCCATGGTTAATAATCATCCCAAATTGCAACACTTCTCTAATAGAGTTCTACAAAAAATACAATAATAACATACTAATTAAAAACAAACTAAACGAGATTCTTGAACGAGACTACCTTAACTGCACAAATATCTTTACCGATGCCTCTAAATTTAATGAAGGCATTGGTTGTGCATTTGTTACTCCAACGTCTATTTTCAAATTAAACTACAGCCTAGCTCAAGTGTTTTCACCGCTGAATTGTTTGCTTTGTACCGTGCCCTAAAATATGCAAACCTCTTAAGAATTTCAAAACTTCTGTTTCTCACGGACTCGCTCAGCTCTCTTCTTGCAATACAGCATCTGTATCCTAAACAGCCCCTGGAACAACTAATAAAAACTGAACTACAAATCGCCCAAGAGAACCACATAACCCCTAAATATATATATATAAATGGATCCCATCGCATATTGGAATTATCGGCAATGAAGAGGCAGACAGTAGTGCTCGTGATGCAGCAACAAGTGTGGAATCTGAATTAGTGCGTGACAGTGTATGTAAAGATCTTAAAACGTTTTTTTAAACAAAAGGTGATTGGTCAGTGGCGGCGCGAATGGTTTCTATCGCAATCTAAATTAAGATCGCTAAAACCAGATACACGACAGTGGAAAAATAGTACTAGTACACGGTTTATTCAAACGGTTCTAACGCGCCTACGTATAGGACACACTAAGATCACACACTCTTATTTACTTTCGGCCAGTGAACGCCCCCTGTACGACCTATGTGCTACGCCTCTTACCGTCGCGCATTTGTTAATTGAGTGTCCAAAATTCCATAGAGAAAGTTTAATAAACAATATACCAAATACTCTACCAGATTTATTAGGAGAAAACTGTCCCGTAAAAAACTTAAAAAAATTAAAAAGTAAAAAAATTACCTCAGGTCAATCAATATTTTGTATCAGATTTAAAGTTTTATTTACTAAGTAACGCCGCTAATAACCTGTTGGTGGATGCGGCAATGTTTTCTTTTTAATATGTGTATTTACTAATTTACGGCTGACGGACATTATAATAAATATATGTCCATGATTTTTAGATAACAGCCAATTGTCAGTTATCCAACTATACTTAGCAAGACGAGTATCTGTAATACTCTTCTAGCGCAAATATCAAAACTTTAAAACTTTCCTTCAAGAGTTATTGCACAGAAAAGAGGAGAGAAAACGACAATATTTTGAAAAATTTTGGATTACAAAGTTGCGGCCAAAGCTCAATGACTAGGTTCTGGCGTACTAAGCCGGACGATCCAGGTTTGATCTTGGTACAGACACCAGAAATGTTTGAGTTTCTAATTTAACTGAGAAGTACGGCGCTTTGTAGTGCACGTTAACCCTTTAGTCCCGGTTATGTCGGAAGTAGTGTTTTAACATTAAGACCTGAGTTAGAATGTTACAATGAAAGATGTACAATAAGCCCATTATCTGCTGTACGACTGGTTATAACAACAAAACGTGTCAATGTTTTAAAACAATTGTTAATAAAATTACTTACTTTATATTTATCACACTTTTCTTCGTCAGTATTAACAATGACAGCTGTCACTACGTAGACAGCAAATATAAGAAACAAGTATTTAAACATCGTTTTCAATTTAGTTTAAATTCAATAATGAGGAAAATATTATGTGTATATTGAGATAAACAGAAAGTAATAATTAAACTATTATTCGTCATTGAACTTTATATATTTAATTTTGATTTGATTTTTTTTATCAAAATAATGTTGATATGTTTCGTGCTGCCTTCACGTTTTTAAATCATTCTATTTTTAAATCATTCGGATCCAGGTATAAGATACTGCTATATCAACAAATTGATGGTAGAAATATGGATACAGCGTCCAGTATGGATACATCCACAAAAAAAGGTGATTCTCGTGAATTTCCAACTGTATATCATCTTATAAAATGAAGCAAAACCATTAAAACCGACTGAAGCAGCTTAGACATGTCTGAAGAAAAAAGATGAACATCCGAAAATCAATGTTAGAAAAACCTGTTGAGCAGAGATAATAAAAAAGACCAAAAAACAGATATTTGTGAAAATGGAATCTATGGGTAACGTTATGTTAAGGGATATCAAGTACTGTATAATATATATATCTTCTTCTTCTTCTTCAGCCTGTGTTCCTCCACTGCTGGACATAGGCCTCTTCCATTTGCTTCCATCGATTTCTACTTTTGGCAATTCTCATCCACTGCTTGCCCGCGACTTGTTTGATATCGTCTGTCCACCTCTTCTGCGGTCTGCCTACTCCTCGCCTGTTCCCTCTTGGTCTCCAGTTTGTTAATCTTTGTGTCCATTTTTCGGATTATCTCGGGCAACGTGTCCGACCCATTGCCACTTGAGCCTTGCAATACGTTCTGAGACATCAGTAATTTTTGTTCTTTCACGAATGACGTTATTTCGAATCCTGTCTCTCAAACTAATCCCTAGCATGGCCCTTTCCATTGCTCTTTGGGTTGTACTGAGCTGCTCCAAGGTTTTCTTTGTGAAGGCCATGGTCTCCAGTCCATATGTAGTTACAGGCAAGATACATTTGTCATAAACTCTACGTTTTAGACACATTGGTATATCTTTATTCTTCAAAATAAAGCTGCTTAATTTGCCGAAAGCTCCCCAAGACAGTTGTATGCGTCTTTTTATTTCGGCTATTTGATTTTCTTTGCCCATTTTAATGGTATGTCCAATATATATATATATATATATATATATATATATATATATATATATATATATATATATATATATATATATATATAGTGGTCTACATTTTCAAGACTGACGTTGTCAATAACAAGATTAGTTTGTAAATTACTCATTATTTTTGTTTTCTGAAGGTTCATTTTGAGACCTATTTTATTTGACTGCTGGTTTAATTCCTTCAACATTTGCTCCAGTTCCTTGATATCTGTACTAAATAATACTATGTCATCCGCAAACCTCAAATGACTCAAACGTACACCGTCAATGTTTAGACCTTTTACCTCCCAGTCAAGCTGTTTGAATACATTTTACAATGCTAAGGTAAAAAGCTTTGGTGAAATAGTATCACCTTGTCTATTACCTTTATCAAGGCGCATTTTTTCAGTTTTTTCGTCTTCATTGATTTTGATGTGGAATGTGGCCTGTTCATAAATGTTTTTAATGAGTGTAGTGTACCGTGAGTCTATTCGAGCATCCTTCAGGGCTGACAACAAGGACCAAGTCTCAATACTATCGAAAGCCTTGTGAAAGTCGATAAATGCCATATGTAAAGGTACATTATATTCTGTGGTTTTTTCTACTAGTGTTCTGATGGTTTGTAAGTGATCATTAGTACCAAACCCTTTTCTACATCCCGCCTGTTCAACCGGTTGATATAAATCAAGTTTTTTTATTATGCGGTTGGTTATTATTCTTGTTAACAATTTGTATAATTGTGACAACAAACCTATAGTATAGATATATCGAAGAAGATAGCAATGAGCGCTGATTTCAGGATTTTTTTACACATTGATTATTAAAGTAAATATTGGTTTATAATATATTTCCAACAATACGTTCTAAGAAAAACTATGAAACAATCAATAAAAACTTCAAAATAATAATCGGCTTACTAATTTGAACTGTTTTAATTTGTTCCTTAAAGTACCTACCTATTATCATATTACATAGATCCAAAATTAAGATAGCAGTCAGGCTAATAATTAGTAGCTAATTCCAGTTTACTTGCACGAAAATTCTTATGTTTTTTTAATCTAATGACCTATTCAGTGCGTTCCATCGCGATTAGCTAATTGAGAAACTTTAATATTTGCATACTACTTTAGAGCGTCCATAAATTACTTACACCATGAACAATCCTCTTCAAGGATGATTCATTCCAAAGAATATTAATTGCGTAATGAGGTCTAACGTCTAATTGAATATCAAATTTATTTTCACTGCGCGACTATTGTATAGAACAGGCAATCGATTAATAGAAAATAGCTTTAGAATAGAATAATTTGTAGCACAAGTAAAAACCGGGCTGAGTGCCAAAATGATAGTTTTGTGGAAACTAAAAAAAACCATGTAAATAAACCTTCCCTTACTTAAATAGCTTTAAAATACAAAAATAGGTTGTAATTGTTAGCCTGATAAATTTTATGCATAAAAAATATTAATATTATTACTATATATTTTTTTTAGTAAAATTTCAAAGAATGTAATTTTTGGAACGCGCTAAGAGCAGTACAAGTTTGGTAAATATTGGGCTAAGTGCCATATATCTTTATATCAAAAAATAACAATAATAGGTTTAACTGGTGACTTAAAATAATAAGGAAAACTTAAACAAATTATTTTGAAATAATATTTAATTATTATAAGAAGGAACCGTTTTGATTATATAAAGCTTTACTATAGACCAGGGCTTCCCAAACTGTGCGTCGCGCCGCCCTGGGGCGTTGCGGACTTGTCCCAGAGACGTCGCATATCAGCGTGGACTTTTAATACAGAAAATATATTTATTTGATTTTAAAATGATGATAAAATGAGTTTAAATTTGTGTTTTTTGTTATAACTATAACCTGTTACTCAGGCTAGTACTAAAATTGGCAAATAAGTATTATTGGGGGTTGGGTTTGGAGGTTGGTAAATAAGTATTATTGGGGGTTGGGTTGTCGGGCGTCGCAAAAAAATGGCAAAGTTTTAAGGGCGTCACAGTGCGAATAAGTTTGGGAAGCCCTGCTATAGACTATTGTAATTAATTTACTATATTAATTCCTCATAAAATAGTTTGTTTTCTTTCAAATAAGGTAATTTTTTTAATTCTTCCTTCTTATCTTGTTTTATTTTACTTTCACCATCCAGTGATAGACGTAACTTTTTTATTTTGTTCTTCAGTTATATTCTTTTTAAATACATTTGTTTCTGCCCATAGTTCCAATTCGTTGAAGGTTTTCTTGAGACTTATCAGCCCAGGATGTACTTTTGAAACTTTCAGCAATTGAGCTTTAGAAATTTCGAGTTTTGTGGTATTAAGACACTTGTTTTCTGCTTCTTTAAAATTAAAAAAATCAGAGGTTTCCAATAAAGTACCAATGAAGAGCTTTTTTTTTTCAAGGAACTAACAACTACCCTAAGAATATCTAATGGTACCTCACACCTCTCCAGCCGTTTCCTTTTCTCAATTAATGCGAAATCTCTGTCACATAACAAAAGCAGTCACATTTTGACTCTGCCCCAAGCAGTTATCACTCCATATAATCCATTTGTTTTTGTTAGTTATTTTAAGGGTGACTGCTTTAAGTAAGCAAAAAGATATTTCGTTGCCCCCTCTGCCACTTATTCCCTCATGCCAAATAAACATCAGTGCTTGATTATTGTCCCCCGCATAAACACCTAAATTGTAACATGACAACTGTCGCAAGGAATACATCTGCGAGTGTGTCAAGGTAGGTATAGAGAAAACCTTTGGAGATCCATAGAAATTGTGCAGTACTAGCTGTTTGGAAGCTGCGATTTCTCGTGGCCAAGTTTCATCACATGTCGAGCCTTCTCAGCTTTTCTATGGTGTAGTTCTAATTTTTGTTGATTAACAGCCTTGCTACATGGTAAATTTTGTATTTGATTTTTAAGTGAGTCACAAGTGGCACAAATGTCTTGTCGAGGTTTTTGAAAGCGAAGATTAGGAAATTTTTTTTATAGTATCACTATAATATCGCAAGATAATTTTAGTAGAGGATACAGATATTTAAAAGCTTTATGTAGTCTACTATAGCTTAGATTTTCACTGAGATATAATTAATTACTGTTTCTCTCTCTCGCTCTCTCTCTCTCTCTCTCTCTCTCTCTCTCTCTCTCTCTCTCTCTCTCATCTCCTCTCTCTCTCTCTCTCTCTCTCTCTCGTATAGTGGCTTTCCTGTTTGGGTAATGATTTAATATGACTTTTGATGATAGATTCATCTTCTTGAGTATAGTTCCTAAATTTTTTCTTATTTCCTCTTAGTTCTACGTATACTTAATTGTTGCTTGTTTTTTTGCTTTTACCAATGTTTCAACTGTTCGTTTCGTTATATTGTGGACTTCTCGAAAGGTCTTTTTGCAAACCTGTCCAGTTTCACTACTACCGTTTGGAATAGTAAAATAAATCGAAGCTTGGTGCCTACTTGCACCAGGTTCAGAAGGATTGTAAGATCCGTGCCGTCTACGCTTTACTTGACAAACACTTATCAAGCCCATTAAATTGTTTTGTTTAACGGTGTCACCAATTTCATGGAAACTCCTCAACAATAGTAGTTTTTGGTCGAATGTAATTTTTCTTCTGCAGTTACAGATACCTAGAAATAAATAAAAAGGCATTAGAGGCTTTATAGAAATGCCAATAATAACATTTTTGTTTACTAACTCTACAAATTATATCGGCAAAATATTTAAATGATCGAAAACCATTCATGTAACTTATTAAATCCCCCTTGTAAATTGTTTTAAAATTAAACTTAAATTTAATAATACACTAATAGAAAATTGTTTATGTAAATACAACCTTGCCTACCCCATTTGGTGGAGGTTCTTTAGGTGAATGATTTCATTTTTAAAGTTTTGATATTGCTTGCCCTCTAACCGTAACTCCTTTTGAAATTCCACTTCTTTTCCCGACCCTTTCTTACGTAGTTTTGTTTTATGTCCAAC